CATAGCAACAGCTGGGCATTTACGGTTTACGAGACGAGGCTGACACGAGCACTTATTTTGGCTTGCATCCTTTACAATCCAGTAGGTGACTGTATAGCGAATATTTCAAGACCACAAATGGAATTCAAATCACCCAGGCAATCCGAGCACAGTCAAGTATTTTGTAAGCCCTCAGGCAGTCTTGGAACAGGGTGAAATCTTTCGGATCATGCCATAACTGCTGCGCATTGCCTTTAACAATGCCAAACGCACATAGAAATTATAGAAATTCCTTCGCTGGGCCTCACGCTGTTCCTCAAAGCTTCTCAGAAACGCTTAGTACGAACGGACGCCGAAACCAGAACACAGATAGGCGACTCGAGAATTCTTTATTCTAACACCAACATATAGGCAACTTTACAACTAAGGTCTATGAACAAATATTACAATAATAAATCACAATATTACTTCTGACGGTTTTGTACGTGCTTTCTGAACAGCGATCGATGAGACGATGATTGATGTACTGATGCCTCTGCAAAATTTGGGGAAGTTGGGTTTGAGCAAACAACCATGGATTGATAGTTCAATCTTCAACTACATTGACAGACAGCCTTCCAAATCTCTTAGCTTAGGCACGTCGTGCGTCAATATATGCAATTTCAAGAGACTGGTAATTGCAAATTGTATAACACTAGCAGTCACACTAGTGGGGGACTTCAAAATGTACGCCAACTTTACTTTTACACTTGGAATAAACTACTAATGGGAATGCGTCAAGCAGGTACACTGGCCTCATTCAAAAAAGAACTTAACGACAAACTACACGAGTTTGCAAACGACAGTAGTCCTAGTTCCTATCTGAGAGCCTCCGAAATAATAGGTCCATTTGATGTATAAGCTCAAATACTACACCTGTTGTTTTTGCCTATATTTATAATTTTAGATAAAACATTAACGATTAAGATATTTACCCTCAAACAGACAAGAAGTTTCGTTTGTAAAATTTCTACCCAACACAATAAGTGGAATAAAATGGACATAAACCGACAACATGAAAAAGGTTATAACTCACCACAACATCACATGGACAGATGTACGCTGGTCGGATATCATATATGCATCACCAACTACAACCCAACATTCCTGAGATAATGTGATGAACTTATATCCGTAATGTTGCTGAGCAGTCAATATCCACAACTCCTGTCGTAACAACTAAAATTCAAAAACCTTCCTCACGAGAAGTAAATACTCATAAGCAGTAGAAATCCATTAATTAATGCGTCTACAGCTTATGTATTTTACTCCCAACAATGACATTGCAGATCAAATGAGATAAACATATCACTGATTTCAAAATAACACATCAATGAACTATAATTCAAGGACTCTGCACACAACAAAGTATTGTACAAAAATTGACTTCAAGCTTCATTTTTTTTCCCAGGTACTTATAACCCATCCACCAAGGACCTGGTTTTTTTGTTAATGCGAAGACAATACTTCTGTAATTCCTGATGTGTTGCACTCACTGACAATCTAGCGGATTTTTCCAACTATGCACAGAAACGATTGTACATAAGCGAAAAGGATGTTTTATACTATTGGGATTAACATTTATCAAGTGTATGTATAATCTCCAGTGTACATGTTAAACATATTTGCTATCGACTGTAAATTGTGACTGAATAATATGGTCCTATTTCCGTAACAATTTGATGATGCCTGTAAACTGGCGTCCCTCATGTACTGTATCATGAGAATAAATTTATTTATTTATTTATTATGTAACCTCACTTCTATCTTTCTCCAACGGAAGGTAATCGGAGGTGTTGCCATCAGAGCATCAGGGCTAGAATTCAAGTAGCTTGAAAATTCCCCTTCTTTTAACTGGTTTCTTCCTCATAAACTCATGACCATCAATTTTATTAGTCGCAACTTAGGGCATATTATTACGAAAACTAAGCTGTTGACTGCCGTTCTTCAGACTCTCTGTAATTTCATCTACCAAGACATTAGTGAAGGTCACCAAAAAACCCAGAAATGCGTCCCAAACAATACTCAATCAAATTAGAAAGACTGGAGGCCAGCATTCAGGCTGATAGAATTGCAGCACTTTCTGCTGAGTAAGTAAAACCGAAGGAACTGGAATGGAAATTGTCAATAGTTTCTAAAGGAGAACCAGTAGCTATGTACAAAGAGAAATCCAAGCAAACAGCACACCTATAATCCGTAGGAGTGGTCAGAAACGGTAAAGGAGCTAGTTTTAGGGCCCTTCAGTTTGCCGATCCTGAAGCTGGTGTCACCCCGAGAATGTTAATCTTTACGCCTCAGAATAATACTTTCAGTAACTTACTCAAGAAAATCGCACGACAGACTGGAGATTTGATGAATATATATATTTCTCCACTGAAAAACTAAAACCATGAGGTTACTATGGCACAAAGTATGTGGCCAAGCATCACTACAGTTTGCAATAATCTGATAGTTTCGCTTCTTTTTTGTACCGGTCAACAAATGGCTTGACTACGACCGTCATTGTTGCCTTTCCCGTAGAATGGAGATCCGTTCAAATGAACAAAACATATACTGCTCACTCAGTGTTCACCCACATTGACAGAATCAGTCTTTATCCTTCGTACCTTCAAGACGTTTGAAAGCTGTGCAAAACTAAGCCCTGCTTGAATTCTGAGGGAGAGGTTTACGTTTGATATCTGGAGTAGCAGCACCGCCTTGTGGTTACAGGCGGAAAAAGTGACAGCGATTTGTATCTCTATGACTGGTGAAATGAGCACATATTTTGTGCGTCGGTGGCACAGTGGTTAGGACTCCCGCCGACCATGCACATGGTCCGGGGTTCGAGCCCTCGCCGACGCATACCTGATATCTATGGTCGGCCTGCGAATTTTGGGCTACCGATATCCACGCTGAAAATTCCATACTTGTACCAAAAATACGGTGTGGAATCAAGCTGTAATCAAAAATAAAATTAAAAAAAATAAATAAATAAAATAAAATACATGTTATCTTACTTGATCTTGCCTGTAAAAAAGGGCATGCATTTTCATGTAAATTTTTAAAATTTGTATGAAATACATTACATTATTATCTGCACTTTAAGTATGGGAATAGATGCACTTGCGTTTGTAATATACATTAATTTTCTTTCAGCCATCCTAAAAACGGTTACGAAGTCAAAGGAAACAGTTCAATCGTTCTCAATACCACGAATATTTCAAGAACGGTTTATCCAGATCATATACTTGTTGAGTTAACTAAGAAAAGTATGCACGACGTCATCTTTTAAATCTTTCTTAATCTCGAGCAGGACACATGGTAGCGATTTATTTTTTGGAGTTGACAGTGCAGACCTTGAGTGTCATCTGAATCGTCATGCCAGATTACTTGCCGGAGGTATGTGTGGGGACATTCAAAAACTAGATTTTCTGGACAGGCCAAGAACATTCAGTTTGAGTAACCGTTCTCATTTGGATATCATGAAAAATTAAAGTGAGGATCTGCCGTTGGACAGAAATATATGTAACCATTCAAAAGAATTCTACCTTTGTGATTACTTGTTGAAGTCGTAAAATTAAGTGATACACTTAGGTGGATTTGTGTTAGACCCTAACATCATATAGCTCTATGTACATGGACGTGGTTGTATCTACTATAAGGGGCAAAAGACGAACATGGAGAGCTTTTGGCACACCCAGTGAACAGCGGGACCAGCAGGTTGTGCATGAGCAAACTTAATATCTATTCACGTTGAATACACAGGGCTGAGAAGCGACTCGGAATCAGCATGACTGAAAATGATATACTGAGGTCGGGTAGGTTACTTAAGGCGGGGAACATGGCGAAGTGACTAATCTGAAAATATATAATGGCTGATCTGTTCACGATGTTATTGTATACCTGACTAGTTGCAATAATTTAGTCATCACTGTTCTTCAGTCCTGTTCTTTGTAACATCATTCCTACATTATCACGTATTCTTTGGGCTTGGTCTACGTTTTTCGGTGATGCTTTTACTTTAATGTTTCGATTTACCCTTGTGTGAGCTGTTGGCAAAGTCTGATGTGGAAAGACTGCGAAATCCGACAGGTGTTTTCATGAGTCAACTCTAAGCCTATCAGCATATTTCTGAGCTTAAGAATGACGAGCATGACGGGGAACTCGGACACATTGGGAATACAACGAAGAAAGCAGAGTTCTTGAAAGGACCAATTCATTTCAGAAAACGGATGTAGAAAATAACAAGAAGTAGGGGAATATGAGGACATTCAAGAGAGCAGTTCGACCCTTCTTTCCGACAACTTCAGAAAGTTTTAAAAATTAGAGCTCTGAGATCTACTAGTTCAACTACATTATAATAATTATATTCTTCATTCGTGGGTTCCATATAAAGCCTTTGCACTGAAGTATATTTAGCCTGTCAATGCCAAGAACGGCGACGGAGAATTGTGACCCTTAGAAGCTATTTATTCAGTAATTCTGGCGTTCTAAAATCAGTGCATTTAAGGATAACATAGTGTGCGTTCTTAACAGACGGTCTGTTGGGACGTTTCTGCCATTCCACTGACACAGTCGGCAAAGTCATTGAAAATGGTGCATAAAGGGTCAAAAATTTAGAGTAACTGTAAGAACTTAAAGAAACAGTTCACCGTATATTGCCGAAGTCAGATTTCCGTTGATCTCCAACTTCCACCACTTAGGCAGACGAATAAAATTTATTAACTGGTCGCTAATGGGAGCGAGGTATGAAACTGTGCTAACATGCAGAATTCGGTATATGCGTAATGAGGAGTCCTCATAACATCTGAAAACAATTTGATAACAAACGCACTAGTTTGATCTCACTTTATTGTTTGTGCGACAAAGATTACACAATTCACTTTGAATTTCAGCTTACTTACGATAAAAATGTTTAAAAGAAGAACGGGAACATGACACTATGGAATAAAATGACAATTTAGTCAGACTAAAAGTATTCTAGGCAAATTGTTTAAGTCCATCACCTGCAGAGTGACCTTCGTGTGACCTATATGAGGCACACTGTGCTGTTCTCAATTTTTATGCATTTGTTTGGGGTGACATCTTTTTTTATCCTCTTGGAAAAGTAATTTGGTACCTATGCAGGTAAGGTTTCTACGCGTTGTCAAATGTTTGATGATTTTTTTCAGTTTTACGCCCTTTAGACTCAAAACAGGAGTTTTACCACCGCATTTATGTGCACTGACAAAGTTAAAGAATTCAAAGACACAAAGCATTTGCTGGAATATCTCAAGGAATTATTGACAGATAGAATAAATCTGTTAGCTTCCTCTGACCTATATATACATGTCCTGAGGATTTTGGAAAAAGGTATTTGTCGTGTGACTCATTATTATTCCAAGAAATATTAAACGTTCGGAGTGAATTGTTTTCAGCCTTTGGTATCTATCAGATAACCGAAGAAGAACTACCAGCCCCTGAAGGTCGAAAAGTCAATCTTCAAGCCAAGGTGTATATGCCAACTGGAACTTCCAATAACGTAAGCGTAGAGAATTGTACTCATTGTAATATTTATTAAAATTACTGTTTAGAATCTCCCTTAAAGAGTTTTTGCATGCATTCACTACTTGTGAGGCTGTCTAACAGTCAGATACTATTTGGGATTTTTAGTATATGTAAGTGGGAAGCAAGAAATTAAATTAAAATTAAAATCCATTAGTGATTTGTCTCTTTATCCTCATACGGTTAAGGATTAGAGGTTATCGCTGAACAATGGAGAAAACACTAGATTTTAAAAGGGTTTTTGTTAATTCTATCAGTGGTGGAGAAGACCTTTCCGAAACTGCTTTTCTCTTGGTTATGGGAAAAAGCGCTACTATGGGTATATTTTAGAAGCCGAGATATTGCTGTGAATTAAAGCCAGTGGGAAGCTTTTGACTAAGTGTATGGTTCACTTTGGATCAGTGTCGATGTTTCGCATGATTATTTTTCTCCTATTTAGGCTTAATGTACACACCGCTTAATACTACTGTATTCCTATGTCTGTGCAGAATTGATATGATGCCATACTTTTTTAGCTATCTTTTACAAACAGTGGCTAGCTGTTTGTCCAGTGTAAAATCTTACTCAAATGATTTAAGACACACGGTTAGTTTTCTTAATAATTGGAAATTAGTAGAAGTGCTGCGCAATTCTGTCAAACTTCAGGTGGTATTTGAGAGCATTGCTGTGAAGGGAATACCCCAGTAGCAGTAGAAATCCTTTAGACCAAGAAAAGCTATTCGACTGTGAGTATGCAGGTAATAGTGTCTTTCTCTGTCATACGATACTCTCTAAGTTGTATCTAATAAGTGATCGTAGTCTCAGTGTACCTCATGTTTTCCATTATGGTAGTATTCAATTTCTTCTTGAGACCATAAAGTATACCCATGTAAGTGGTCAAAAGACCCATGTATTTCATTATTTGTGTGACTGCTGATTTGAGTAGTTTTATTGCACCGATATAAAACCTGATCTTAAGTAGATCTGATTGTTCGTGATTTACCACCTCTGCCCCGTATATTTATGCTGATCCGCTTACTACTTATTAGTGGTTGTAGTATCCAGCACCTTAGTAAACACGACACACTATGAGTGACTTTATCCTGGGGCACTGACTTAATTAGCTAAGCTACTTTTTACTTATTGTTGTGGGATCTCTGTTGTCCGTCAGTTATTATAATAAAACCTGACATTATAGTTGTTCCATTGTTACTTTGTACAGTTTAGAATGTCGGAATTTATGAGAATTAGCTACTGGCGATAGGTGTTAAATTTTTAAAAGAATAAATGAATAAGAAACAGAAGCGAATATGACACTTATGTAAAATCGTGTACAGGCTGGATAATTGTTTCAGTATAGATTACTGTAGTTTGTAGGAGAGCACTGATAAAAAACGAACATCCAGTACGATAAGATATTAAGATCTTGTTGGAAAAGTAGTTAAATCTGCTCCATGTTGGCTGGTTGATCTTGACCTTCCACCAAGTATCTTCACTAAATGACATTTGGCTTCTTACGTGGTCATCCAAAATATTAGGTAATGTCTAGGATTCGAATATAATCCTGATAGACTGTTGTCAATCATTGGTTATCTCAGTTCATAAGAAGAGAAACAAATCTTCCTGCGATTATTATAAGGAAATCAGCTTGACTAATGTTGTAGTATCTAAAGTTCTAGTTTCAGTAACCATGTGAGAGTCAGTGTTACTCGGTTGAAACGAAACCATGAAAATCAGGTTGGCTTTAGGCCAGGAAAGAGGTTTCAATCATATCTTCACCTTTCAACAGATTCTGGAACATTGGCATGCTTCCTGCCGTTCAACACTTGCCGTATTCCTTGACTTGTAGGTTTTCTGTAGGTGTTATGACAATGTAAAGGGAGCTCCAGAGAAGTATACTGTACTAATCAAGGCATTCATCTCTAACACACTGTCGTGTGAAAGCTTACGGATAGCTGTCATCTGAAGTGATGATAAACAGTGGTAATCGTTAGGGATGCACATTGCCCCCATTTTTGTTTAATTTCATGATAGATGTCCTAATAGATATGATCCTAACTAACTTTAACGACTTACTGAATGACTTGTTACTACGATGTAGTCTGTTCAACTTAGAGTGTGTAGATGATATTATCCTCCCAGGTAGAGATGCTGACAAAATGCGAAGTCTTCCGAACTCCTTGAAGAGTAATCTTCAAGCATTCGGCATGCGGTTGTCAAATGTAAGATGATGCTACGGGAGTGGTGTACCCCTACTCCCAGTTTTACAGCTAGGAAGTGAAGTGGTTGAGTGGGTCGACGTTCTATCTACCGAGTCAAGTGGTAGAATATGATGAGGAATATTGAAGTTAGGCTGGGAAGGTCAATTGATGAGGTTGTGAAGCTGTACTAATTGATATGAGTAGGAAACGTGTTACGCATGCTAAGCCATCGCCTTCCTTAATCATATATATATATATATATATATATATATATATATATATATATATATAATAAAACTATATCAGACAGTGTGTTAATACACAATGGAGAAATTTCCAGCGTAGTCCCAAAATATTTCCCCTTTATATAGGATTCACATATAAAGTACTAATCTGAAGTATACCATGTGAAGTAGTGTTGTTGTACATGAAGACAGAACCATTTCTGTATATTTTGTCTTCATTTCCTTCAGGAGTAGCATAGTGTTCTATTGGAAGCTAATTCAATATGTATGCAAGTTCATGTAGTAACTATTTCAAATTATTGCATAATTAAAACAGTAAGAAAAGCAGAAGAGTTTAGGCGATTGGACTGGTCACAGTGGTTAGGACTCTCGCCGACCATGCACATGATCCCAGGTTCGATCCCCTGCCGACCCACACCTGATATCTATGGTCGGCCTGCAAAATTTGGGCTACCGATGTCACATTCCATACTTGTACCAAAAGTACAGTGTGGAAACAAGCTGTAATCAAAAATAAGAAAATAATTAGTAGTCCAGTCATTTAAGCAGGCCGCTCTTTTGAATAATGCCGGACAACATAAGATTGGGAAAAGATACGGGTAGTCAAATCAAAACCTGATATCAATTCGTTAAGTGTTCGACAGTTAGTCTGAGCCACATAGGAAGGTGTAGTCTGCCAAGCTGGAGTTCTTGGGAGTCTAAGAACCTATGCCGCGTGATTGTTGGCGATATAGCTCAAAATCGTTGTCAGTAACGTGAATACATTCACACGTTGTTACCTCCCACATTCTTTAAATTCTTGTGTTTTCCATGTTACAATTTTTCCTACTGTAGATTTCTGCTGATTGTAGTTCTTTTGAGTTCTTATCTTTTTTCCCTCTATCTTTGTGTGTCGTTTGGAGTGTAGCCAATTGAACGCATGTACTGCTGTGTAAAGTTCTATGCTTCAACCCAGTCAGTCAACATTTTTTTATAGTGTTAAATTACTGTGGCTTTCTTAATAGTCTGAAAATATGACATGTAGATAGTTGTACCACCAACTGAAATTGAGATTGACGAAAATAAAGATGAATATTACCCACTTTAGATGCGAAAATAGAAACAACAACACTTACAACAAAATAAAAACTATTCATGTTATTCCTTTGGCGTCTTAACAACTATTAGGATTCTGGATAATCTAAATAAATAGTTATACTGCATATTTAGTGTACTTTAGTTCACTGAATAAACAAAATGCCAGGCGATAGTTGAGACAATCACAGCTGAGAGATTAAGTATAATGGGTTCGTCAAGTGGATGATGCAGCTAAATAATGGTGAGTAATCAACACTTGCATGTAATGAGAGGTGATATACTCATTAAACTCAAAATTTAAAGTAAACAAACTGAATTACTAAGATAGTGAAGTGATTATTTCAAGTTCTTCGATAATACACGAGTCAGGTTTAAGGCGTTTATGGTGGTAGTCTCGGCAAACTTAATGGAGCTGAAGTGTGTTTGCTCATGATTTTGGAAGAATTTATGACGTCTTCATGTCGGAGTTTTGTTTCACTTACTTGTTGAGTGGTGATTATATTTGGAGTTGAGCTCCCTCTTTATCTTGGGCTCTCCGGGGTCCCCATGTACCCGTTTCAGTAGCTACAAGTAAATTGGCATACATATCTGGATATAAATTTTGAACCTCATCTGGACTGACAAACACACTATTTGGTTGCAAAATGATTTTGGCTGCAGGAAACTATGTTACTAGTTATTTCTGGAATGTCATCACCTTCGTATATGAAATGAAGGAATATAGGTTTTCTTGACAGCTTTTTTTAACTCTTTAGATTGTTACCCCTGTAAATTTGGTGATGCGTTGCGTTTCTAAGTACAATTCCAGTTAAACACATGACTACCATCAAACTGATGAGGTAACGATGGAAGTTTACTGGATCCCGTATTAGCCGATGTCTTTGTGACAAATCTAGAGAATGCTAAACTGAAAAGGCATTTAGTGAAATGACATTTTGCACCCTCTGTGTTGACAGTTTTTGTTTTTATTGTGTTCCCGTGCGTGTCGAGTAGAACATACGGCTTCAAGCTTGAGCTTTAAAGTTTCAGAAGCAGTGGTATTCTTTTTTACGGAGTGAGGTTGTTATCCTCATGACCACGGATACTTTTTTACAGAGCGTATAATCGGCTAAGTGAGCTTTAGGTGTGCTTTGGCCAGGATCTGATATCCAGACCACTTGGCATGGTTGACGGGCATTCAACCGCTGAACCCCAGACGACACTCTTCATTTTATGCTAAGATCAATCTCATGCGTTCCACTTGTTAGAAAACTTTAATAATGTCCATAACAATGCATTTTTGCCTGACTGATTAAGTTTTAACACAGAAATTTACACAGAAGTGCAGCAGTTTAAGTTGCCACATTCCTCCACATAGCACACAAAATAGAAGAAATTGAAAGGGGCTCTAATGAGCAGAAAAACGGGAGAAGAAAGTTGTGACACTGAAAAACATGAGAGTGTAATGGATTACTGGGAGATTACAGGGAGTGAAT